AATAGTACGAGTATACTTTGCTTGTGGACTAAAGCCAAGGAGTTGTTGAACATGAAAATGCAAGAGTTTCTCTTCTGTATATTTTACGAGGACGTTCTAAGGAAGGCTGTAAGGGTTTCTTACCAACATAAAACGACCATAATTTTTTGTACACCGTAACAGAACTACAAGAATCTGGGCTGTTCATCTCGTTTGCAAGAGGATAAATCCAAAATCTTCACGAACACACACACAGTTTAAACGAGCGAAGTTATGCACACGGCAACCATTTAGAGTGCTAATAGGTTAGGGATGGAAGCCCAGTTTAATAACAGTTATTTAGAGAAATACATCATGAATACATATACACGCCCTCATTCATACATGCACGCGAACATATACCGTTCTGAGTACATAAACAGATAAAACAAACTCCGTGGCCTGTAGTCCGCAAGCGAACTATACCGACCGAGCGACCGTCGCTTGTCAGCGAAGTTAGTGTCAACTTTCGCGAATAGAGGGTGTCGCGTGGTCGTTGCAACGAATCCCCAAGGCCGTTAATTTCGGTTTTCTAGAACGGAGCCGTTATTTCCTTGAAAGAGTTCCTCAGTTATCCTCACGAGGCTGAGTGGACCCCGTTCCAGACCCACTACCTCTCAGAAAATCGGGTAGCGCCGGTAATCGAACCCGGACCTCTGACCACTAGACCACCCATGTCAAGAGGGCTTACTAAACATGTTCGTCTGCTCGTACGTGTTCATGGAGTCATAAATTAAGGCTGGCGTGTAGAATTTCATTATATCGTGTTACATAACGCTATACAAACTACTGAAACGTTTGGAGGGTCACATAAGTGACACTGTTACGTCATCCCTGAATTCAGTTAACATTTACGAATTTCACAAAAGTGACTCTTAAAGACTGTGGTATTTTCGGACGTGACACCGTACGATATCACAATTTTAAGATAATATTTATTGACCCATGAATATAAACTGCCTTTTAAGTGACAAAATAGCCAATGCAGGGAACATAAACTGTAATATACGAGAAACGAACTCGTCTTTATTCCTCAATACGGAATCCAGGTTAATATGAAAGCAAATTTCTAAGAATAATAATAAATAATGCAATGATGTCGTCTTCAAAAATAGCTCACGGTTACTTTCTCTTTCTTTCACCTAAATCAATATGGAAATAGTAAATTTCTGTTCCTGAAATAAGGCAGATTAGTGCGTCAATTTTAACATGACTGAGTGCCTTAATGAAGTATGATTAGTAAACTTATCGTCACATATTAATATAGCCTTATTCAATGGAGAAATTATGGGAAAACTAGGCAATGACCGCGGAACAAACGAGACAACGGCCGTTGCTAGGCAATGCCCCGCCCGCGACAATGGTAATACTGTTGGAAGCGGTGTTTTATATGTGGTCCGCCCCAAGGCTACAACATGCGACCGACCGAGTGCATTTCAGTTAAACCCGTGTGGAGGCTGGGTCGAATACCTCCACCGTGACCCTGCGAGTCGTAGGAGGGGACGAAAATGGAAGTCTCAAATCTGAGAGTCGCGAGTATCAAGGGACTCGGACCCGAGAAAGACTGCCCTGGCATAGGCCAGCAGCATATGCAAAATACAGACCCGTCCTTTCGTCTGAGAGGGGGCCCCACAAAAACAAGACCGTAACTGTCAGGTAATAAATAGCTTGTCACGAGCCCTACGTGGCACTCGACACCAAGACTTACTGACTGACTGACCGTCAGTAGCGGCGTGACTCTGACTTGGACAGTTCCGTTAGTGAGTTACTGCAGTTTAGCTTGATAAAGTGCAGCGAACTGGTTGGTAAGTAAGTTAGTTAGTTAGTTAGAGACCTGCTGCATTTCAGTCCTTGTGAGCTGTTGCTGTTAGAGGCTGGTAGCTGAGGCACAGGGATAGTTCGGGAACCCAGAGTAACAGAAACGTCCGCTGTTGGAAGCCGTTACCATTCAACGACTGGTGAAAATATTGAATAAGAAGACTTCAGTTATTCAGTATAGAGGGGGTGGGTTTCCCCATGCACCGCGACTGACAGTCTATTGTACGTCCCCCTTTAATTTCTACTGTCGCCATACCCTACCGATATTGGTGCCCGTTATCTCCCCTTTCTGCCAGCGAGGTCGGTCCTCTACTTCCCCATCTACCGGAGGCATTGGAAACTACTTGGGCAGGAAAATTTTTGCCTAATTTTGCTCAGAGGTCTCCTAGAGACATGAGGATCTTTTACGTGCCGTAAATCTACGACATGGGACCCACGGCTTAAAGTCCCTGCCGGAGGACTTGTTCCCTGAATTTTTCCGCCCTTAAAAATTCCATGACCTCCGCCGGGTTTGAACCCGCGTAACTTGAGTCATGAGGTGGGAACGTTACCCCTAGACTACGGAGGCCGCTATAAGAAGACTTAGTACGCGCTGTAGTGAACTGCAGAGTGTGTGAATTAACGACAGAGCTACAGTTACTTGTAGTTACGATCTGTAAGTGGTCAATAAATCCAATTACCAATCCAAACAAAATCTACAGTCACTCTAAAATTCGTGACAACACACTTTCGACCAATAACATCCCTGCTTCATACGACTGAAATACATTCATTAGGTCAAGCATATCTGTTTCGAACCACGGACAAACGGAGAAGTTGCGCTAAACAGTTTCAACACAAGGCCAATCAATAAAGTTGTAACGGCGGCAGGCTCTCTAACGGCATTCTTCTGTCTGACACATTTTACACCTTTGTGCCTTTGCCTACTCCCACTTAAAATCGCTTTGCAGTTTTAATGAAGACGTGAACCTTTTCATACCGCAGTGCAAGGTTATCATAATTCGTTACTCATTAGGACCCACTCCCTGTAGGAATGAAAACTATTCGCAGACAAAGTTTGGTTCTCTGGAAAACCATCTATGTAGAATATAACTTAATCGTCTATATGAAGTGTATACCAAGTTATAGGTTTCTCGTTAAAAGTTTTCAACCTATTTACGTCATTATTTAACGATGCTGAATCAAATATTAAAATTAAAGTGCCCAAATTTATTTCACGGATGTGCAAAGGGGATAAGAGTACGCACTTACTTACTTACTCGTCGAGCTGAGCCCTTCTTGAGAAGCCGCCAATTGTGCAGCTACTCAAGAATTTCCCAGCATCTTATGGAACCCGAAGGTTCATCATCGTGATCACAAGAGCCCTCCACTGGTCCCTATCCTGTGCCAGATCAATTCAATTCATCCATCCCATCCTATCTCTCTAAGATCCATTTTAATATTGTCCACCCACCTACGCCTTGGCCTTCCTATTGGCCTCTTTCCTTCGGGATTTCCCACCAATTTCCTATATGCATTCCTCTTCTCCCCCATTCGTGCTACATGCCATGCCCACCTCATCCTCCTTGACTCGATCATTCTAATTATACTTGGAGAAGAGTACAAGTTATGAAGCTCCTCATTATGCAGTTTTCTCCAACCTCCTGTCACTTCATCTCTCCTCAACACCCTGAGTCTATGTTCCTCCCTTAATGTCAGAGACCAAGTTTTACACCCATACAGAACCACAGGCAAAATTATAGTTATACGATAAAAGTAGAAGAAGAAAATTTTCCAAACGTCCATGAAATATGAATTTTGGAAGAAATTTGGGCACTTAATTTTAAGCGTGCTTCCAAGCATAGAAACCTAATGATTATGGGCTTAAAAAGAGGTCACAATTCGGAGTATTCAGATGGAGTGTGAGGTGGTGTGAGGCGAGTGCGTAGTGGAGATGGGTGAGTTGTAACCACTGTCACGCAAGTAACGTCCAGATTTCAAACAGTTTCTCTATGTCGCCGTATTTTCTGTCTCATTTCCTAAAGAACACGACATAGCCTGCCTTATGGTACTTGTAGGAATAAGGAAGACCAGTGAAGCCCAACAAGTCCGAGAGCTTAGTCAGCATTCGAATTCGCCGTCTATAGCAACTGCCGCCTCCTTGCCGACCTACACTTCGTTCACGATGACCGCCTCCGAACTCGTCTGTTTCGTCTATCTGAAAGGAACATGTCGTCCGCTGTAGGTCAAGGTCAAAGTTACTTTACGACTGGCGGTTTACCGCCAATAAATTCGTCATGGCATCAATCCCTTGAGACTCACGACCACTAATTTCATTTTCCAACTGAACACTTGCGGTTGTAATCCTTATGTAACATCTTCTCTGACGAGAGGATGGGTTTGTCGTCTAAATTTCCTGCTGGTCCTCGCCAGCGCAGTCAATATCGGGTCGCAGTCCTGCGGGACTCGTGGCCACATTTTACTGTCTCAGGCTCGAGACTCCCCCAACTTGGAGGGCCAGGTCCCTGTATTTATATCCCCCAGGAACAGTGTGACCCAGGCAATTTGTTCCCTTTTCGTTGCCTCCTACGAGTAGCAGGGTTACGGTGGAGGTATTCGAAACCGCCTGCATACTGCCTACAATTGACTCTCCTTATATAGTCTCGCACGGACACAATTGAGAACACCGCTTGCAACAGTTCTTTATTGTTGCGTATCTTTTGCGACGGTCACGTGATTAGTTTTCCGCGGAAACGTCCTTATACAGCTACTGCAAGCAACGGATGTCTTCTCTTGTTCTGCTATTCCGTGTTTCAGCAGACATGTCACAATAACAACTCATTGCCTTCCTGTTCTATAGAAGTGTATTTTTTTTTTTTCTGAATATTAGCTCAGTAGTCACGCTGGTTGTCTCGGATGTACTGCGTGACATTTTAATCTATTAGAAGTAAGTCGACTGGATGTTGAAACACCATCCCCCACCTTCTAAAATTCTATATGCTGCCAACGCTTTACCACTACCCTGCAGTCTGTAAATACCGACAATGCGACAATGCTGTAACCCACCCCCTCCCGCCACACCGCACAGTTCTGTAACTCATTCAAAGATACAACACTTATCTTATCTCCTACATATTATCAGGTGGGAATGACTCACTGAACAGTAAGTGCAAGTGAGAACTTACCACGTAAGACGCCATTAAAAATGCTGCATTCACTCTCTTCTGGGGATCCATTGTTGTGTAATGTACAATTTTCTTCTTTGCCAATGAGAATGACTGAAATAAGAAAGAAATGATTTTTATTATGATGACCGTAATGAAGTTGGATCGTCAATTTCATAATTTTTTATTGCTAGTGGGGTGCGACTAAGTCCCTTGTACTGCGGCCACTTCTGGTCTATTGTACCTGACCCAGATGATAGGTGAGGGTGACTGTGGAGCAATTGGTGGAATGAAGATTGGCAAGGGAAACCGAAGTACTCGGAGAAAACCTGCCCCAGCGCCACTTTGTCCACCACAAATCCCACTTGACCAGTCCCGGGATCGAACCCGGGCCGCCGTGGTGGGAAGCCAGCGACTAACCGCTTGAGCTATAGCACGGCCTATTTCAATATTAAATAGACATAATACATATTCCTATTGTGGTGGAACAGATTTGAATAACTAGTTCATGAAGGGGCCTATAGGCGAGTTTCAGTGTTGATGGTTTTAATACTTTAAGTTCGAGAAGTTTCGGGCTTAATCTCAATACAGTCACATAAACTCAACTGCGAAACATCAGCTGATTCCTGACGAAATTTTGCTGTTATTCTAGAAGTGGCATCCAATGGACTGCGAATGAATCCGGCTGAAATAACAACAGAACTGGCAAAGGCTTAATCAAATGTAAGAGTAAACATAAAGCGATCCAAACAGACTGATAATGCCTTTCTTCCTCTACCAGCAGGCTTTCAGCAGTATTTTAGCCGAAAACATTTGCCAGAGAATATACTTGGCGATATACTAAAGTATGAATATTCAGCAGTAGCCGGTCACGGTAGCTGAGCGGTCTAAGGCCTGTCTTCCTTCGCTCGCTCGGAAGCCGGGTTCGTGGGTTCGAATCCCACACAAGGCAGGTATATTTGGTATGTGTATGTGTTTATTCTGTGTTTAGGTAGAGGCCTTGCGACGAGCTTATCACTCGTACAAGGAGTCCTACCGTCTGTAAAATGATAAAAAACCTTAAAAATCAGAAGCCAGGACCCAAGAGGTGTGTAGAGTCAGGAAAAAGAAATTAAACAGTGAGAAACTTCATAAATAATATAACATTATGAATGTTATCAGGCAAACAACTGCTATATATATATAGGGCACGCGCGGCAAATAAAATGTTTTGGCAAGAAACAAGATAGATTAACACTATAAATAACACCTATTGTCTACAAATGTTTATGCCAATAACCGTTGCAAGAACCTTACCGAATAAAAGACAATCGTGAACTTTTAAACAAGCGGTGATGAATCTTTGGAATCCAAAATGGTACAGAATGAAAACTTACACACCGGACAAACTCTGCTGGGACGGCGGTTAACCCGACAGTTCTTTCGTTATTTTCCTCAGTTTTTGCAGGCGTCGTATGCTGTTGCATCGTATGTCGTTTACCAATGCGTTGCATTGGTAAACGACAGATTTCCTATTTCGACGCACAAAATAAAACCTTATATCTGACACGGCACCGTTCAACAACCTACCGACCAACCTACATAGACATATCATGTGAACAGGACCGGAAGTGTTTCCTGTTTCTAGAGCATTTGGGCTGCCAATCGAAAGAGGGTACACCGTCCAAACGCAAGACCCCGACTCGGTCAGCTTGATTCAAGTCCTGTTGGCATTTGCGTCAAGTGTGTCTGTTTCATTTATACCGATCGAGCGACCGCTGCTTGTCGGAGAAGTTAGTACCCACTATAGCGGATAGAGGGTGTCGCGTGGTCAGCGCAACGGATCCCCACGGCCATTTGAAAAATATTCATACACAGTAACAAAAGAACGCAGGCTACCGCCATATTCTAAAACTGTACTCGCTTTGTACGATAAATATTTAATGCCACGTTCAAGAATTCACGAAGGACTTCGAACAAAGTAATCGATAAATTCGAATTCCCTTAAGGTTCTAAATTCCGAAAGAACAAAAGGTTCATTTCACAGAAAGCAGAAAGAAAACAGACAAACCGCAAAGCAAATTCCATGAAATGAGAACTTGGCGACGTGGTGTGAAAACATTAACTTTCTGTAAACTTCCTCAACATCACTGACTCTGTAATTAAATCAATATAAAATCTGAAACGTTATCAAAGCAGTATAGAATACGGCACAAACATGATTATTAGCTTCTATATATTGTTTTTATTGCTAGTAGGGTGGGACTAAGTCCCTTGTACTGCGACCACTTCTGGCCTATTGTACCAGCCCCAGATGATAGGTGAGGGTGATTGTGGAGCAATTGGTGGAATGAAGATTGGCAGGGGAAACCGAAGTACTCGGAGAAAACCTGCCCCAACGCCACTTTGTCCACCACAGATCCCACTTGACCAGACCTGGGATCGAACCCGGGCCGCCGCGGTGGGAAGCCAGCGACTAACCGCTTGACCTATGGCGCGGCCCTTGGCTTCTATATAGCGATATGAGCTGGAGCAATACAACCTTTCATCCTAGACGAATGTTCACGTATATTTACGTTTTTTTTTTCAGACGGTGAATATTCATATTGAGGTAGTCTGGGCAGTGACATAGTGTCACAAAGCTACTTGAACAGACGTACCTATCGTCCTGTTTGCGAACTGCTCTACAAGGTTCGGAGGAGAATATCAGGACGAGAGAGGGAGAGATGTAACAGGAAACTGTAGAAAAATACACAGTGAAGAGTTTCGTAGTTTGACTCCTATCCAGGAGGATTTAATCGGCTGTGCATTTAGTATGCACAGGAGAGAAGACAACCAGAAGGAAAGAGACCACTGGGAAGACCAAGGCGTAGATGGGTGGACAATATTACAATGGATCTTAGAGAGATAGGATGGGATGGCATGGATTGGATTTATCTGGCTCATGATAGGGACCAGTGGAGGGCTCTTGTGAACACGGTGATGAACCTTCGGGTTCCATAAAATGCTGGGAAATTCTTGAGTAGCTGCAGATTTGGCGGCTCCTCAAGAAGGGCTCAGCTCCGTAAGTAAGTAAGTAGAGAAGAGAAATGGACACATAGAGATCACTTGGAAGACACTAAAATGATGGTGAATAATATTAAGTTTGATCATGAAAGATCCTGGTTAGGAACAGAGAACAATGGGGGGCGGCTCTTGTTAAATCTGCAAAGAACCTTCGGGTTCCATAAAATATTTGGCATTTTTTGTCAACCTGAGCAACTATCAGCTTCTCAAGAAACACTCTGCTGATATAGTTACTGCAACCTGATAAAACCACACAATAATTTACGCAAAGGTAACAATGACCGGCTGATTATTTAGCGATGACGAGTCAATTACTCCAGTTATTTAGCATAAATATTTACGAAAATAAACAATGCGAGATCCGTGAGACAAATGTTGAGATACATAGGCAACAGCTACCACCCAGACGAAACATGCTCTTTATTTCTTTCTTGTTTATTTAATGACGCTGTCAGTAGTTCGGACAATACAACATCAAATGACAGGGTGATTACTGAAAAACTTGAAAGGTTGCGAGTCATCGAGGCTTAATTTCAGCTCCTATCTCCGTATTTGCCTGAAGGGACTAAAAAAAAATGTGAAAACCCCTGATCGAACAGCCGGTCTGTGGACCGAGACTGGAACCCGGAACTTCCAGATTACGAAGGAGTGTTATCCATCGGGCCGCGTTGTACAATCTACTGATGATGTCACCTCTTCGGTAGTGGCCCGCTATGTTCCCTTCCGACCTTCGATCGTCCTTCAGTGGAGTGTCACGGAACAAATGAACATATATTCTTCCCCTACCCGCCTGCCCAACTGCTACCGCCCCTCCACGTGTCTTCCCCACTCCCACGCATTGACACCTGAACCTTGGCGTTCTCGGTTTGTTCGTGTGGCTGGAAGGGTCGTGTGCAGAGTAGGTAGCAGGGTGGGGGGCCTTGCTTGCAACTCCCACCACTACTATTAATTCTTCATCTGGCCGGAATATGGTTGCATCCATGCTTCAGCGAGCACGGGCCAGGGTAGAATTCGGTCCAGTGATGGTAGAAATAAAGTTCCTTCATCGTCACAAATAAAGCAGATACCATTTTGTTTCAGGTTGGAGAAAACTGCACAATGAGGAGCTTCATAACTTGTATTCTTCTCCAAGTATAATCAGAATGATCAAGTCAGGGAGGATGAGGTGGACAGGCCATGTAGCACGAATGGGTGAAGAAGAGGAATGCATACTGGTACGAAAGCCAGAAGGAAAGAGACCACTGGGAAGACCAAGGCGTAGGTGGATGGACAATATTAAAATGGATCTTAGAGAGATACGATAGGATGGTATGGAGTAGATTGATCTGGCTCAGGGTAGGGACCAGTGAAGGGCTTTTGTGAACAATGTAATGAACCTTCGGGTTCCATAAAATGTTGGGAAATTCTTGAGTAGCTGCAGATTCGGCTTCTGCTCAAGAAGGGCTCAGCTCCATAAGTAAGTAAACTATTTTCTTTCTCTGGACCTGCTGGCTGTTAACCTACATTTATGCCGGCGAAAGGAACTTCGTTTGTATCATCCGAAGAACCTGTACTGTAGTTCTTCATAGTTTATTGTGTCATTCCTATACAGGCCACTCACTACTGGCCTACACACGTTATAATGTGTTAGCTAAGCGTTCGAACGCGTTCGAATGATGACAGCTGGATGGATGTTTTGATGACCGCAATATTACGATTTAAATTTAAAATTCTTTGCTTAGGAGACGTTGAGCCAGCATAGCTCAGTTGGTCTAAAGGCGGGTTATGGGCTGGACAATCAGGGTTCGATCTCAGGCAGGGGCCAGAGATTTTTCTCTTCTCCGCAGCGTCCAGACCAGGTATGGGGCAAATCCAGCCTCCTACAGAGTGGGTATCGGGGGCACTTTATATAGGGGTAAAGCGGCCGGGCCGGAAAGCTGACCACTCTCTTCTTTCAAGCGCCGAGGTCAAGAATGGTGGAGTTATACCTCCGCTCTCCCATATACGGCCTCATGGTGTGGTGCTTAATTAAGCGCTGGGACAACTTTACAGTTTTAAATCCTTATTCGCGCAGAAGAACTGTAAATACA